CTCTCTCGTGGAAATTATGTTATCCCAACACACAGCACCTTTAAATACTCTCACGGGCTACAGTAAACATTGACACTGGTCACCTGGTACTTATCTAACCTTAATTTTGGTCTAACACAATATCTGAGTTATTTAAAGAAAACATTCTCTCGCGGAAATGTGTGTTTCACATGCTAAACATACCTTTGAATACCTCACATGGACGGAAAGGAGCTGATATGATCTCCCATATACTTATCTAACACTAACGGAACAATATAGTGCATTAAATATTTTAAAAACTGCACAATTTTACACCTTTTCCCCAATTTTTAAATATATAAAAATCTGTATCTCCTTCACTGTTCCCCAGTTCTGTGCCAAACAACTTTTTTTCTGTCCTGGAAAAATCAGACCTACAACATATCAAAAAATCGTTTTCCCCTGGAATTCTAATAAGAAAAATCCTCTTTCGTATTTACACTGTTGAATATATGTAATATAAATCATCGAAGGTACATATACAGTGTTTAAATAAGGACATGATATACATACATATATCTGTGTATATACATATATATACATATATATATACATATAAATATATACATATACATATATCTTTTTTTGAATGTCTGTGCTGTTTGTGTATTGTTTATTAACAATTAATCCTTTGATGTTTTTATGTTACTTACCTTTGATGTTTTTATATTACTGTTGTGTATTATTGTAAGTATCATATATACATATACATATATCTTTTTTTTGAATGTCTGTGCTGTTTGTGTATTGTTTATTAACAATTAATCATTTGATGTTTTTATGTTACTTACCTTTGATGTTTTTATATTACTGTTGTATATTATTGTAAGTATCATTTAATTAAGTCCTCGACTGCGATTTTGATATTGAATAAAATAAAATGAAAAAACATATGTATACATATACATATACATATATATGTACAATTATAGGACAATATTCTTTGATTGTAAAAAGTCTTACAAATCAAGAGACGCTATTTTTATAATGATTTGTATAATAATAATTTAGTTTATATAAAGTTACAATTTAGACAATCATATTATGTAAAAAATACATACTATTGACGTAGTATTACTTTTATTTTAAATGGTTGTCGTGATATGTGCTGTGGCTGTTCATGAGCGATACCATTAGAAACTAGATATTCATAAAATATTTAATATTCATACCAGTTTGTGTGTGAAAGTTTTAAGCCCGAACAAAACACAATAATTACAGAAGGGGTAATAATAAAA